AAAGAATAGTGCCCTCGCTGCCGCTTGGGCACTATACCTTCCCTCAGCAACAATATGAGAGCATAGTGCCCCCAACAACAGGCATTAATGTAGAATTATTTTTACCACCTTGGAACCCTAGATAAACGTTCAGTATTGGTTTGTAATAGGTGTGCAGCCAACGCATGTTTCTAACCACATAAAAACGTTAAATGATGGTTAGTGTAACGTTCATGACTAACGTTTGTTCATGCATGGTTACGCGGCGACAAAGTTGATAAATAACGTTTGTTTTTACCACCTCGGAACCCTAGATAAACGTTCAGTACTGGTTTGTAATAGGTGTGCAGATAACGTTTGTTTCTAACCATTTGGCAACTATATAAAAACGTTAAATGATGGTTAGTGCAACATTTATCGCTAACGTTTGTAGTAAACCATTTCGCAACCATAACAAAACGTTAAATGGTGGTTGACACAACGTTTGTGGCAAACGTTTGTTAATAACCTATATATAACTTTATATATAACGTTTGATGAACGTTTTTAGACGGTTTAATTCAAACCAAACCAAAATAAAACCAGATCATAACGTTAGGAAAACGTTATGTGTTAGCTGGGTGTTTGGCATTACTCATACCTATTGTACTGTACCGGTACATCACTTGGTGTCTTGAAAACTTGTGTTTTAGAATTTCTGTACTGTACTACCATTCCGAAATCCAAAAAATTCTGAATGCCGAATTAACGTGTCTGGTCCCACGGGTTTCAGATAATAGATTGTGTACTGTATTAAAGTGATTACATCACCGTAAATAGTAAAAGTAAAAAAAATTATGCCCACTTTTACATAAATTGTAAGTGATTCTGTTTACTTGTTATGGTTAAATTGCTGCATTATACTTCTTATTTTGCTACTCTGTTCGATGTGAACAAACCCTCGTGACTCGTACATAGCCCATAGCAAGCATTTAATGTAATGATCAATATATCAAATTGCCCAGATTTTTTGTATTTTTAACTAGTTGAAAAACAATCTTATCAGGCAAGAATTTGAGGATACATTTAGTGCCTTTAGTACATATACTTTTCATGTAAAAAAATTGCAACAATATTTTTACAAATGTATACCATAAAAAATTCGAGACGTAGTTAATTTATAACAGGTCTTGTGCGTGTGACACTAACCACAGCGATGGCCCTGCATCGAAAAGCCTTCTACTAGTTACGACAGATGTTCCCAGATGTCGACATTTGTTAGAAGATCGCGATTTTCATAAAGTTATCACAAAGCTTCTGCGCGTGCGTACACACAAAAATCTCATATGTGAAAGACGGGCAAGTAGGAATAGAAAGAACGCAATCGAGGCCGTAAAAGATGGAAGGAGAGAAGGACGGGCAGATGGAGGGTGGAAAGGAGAGAAAGGAGGAGAGATGGGCGGTAGAAAGGAGAGAAGGGAGGAGAGATGGAGGGTGGAAAGGACAGAAGGGAGGAGAGATGGAGGGTGGAAAGGACAGAATGGGGGAGAGATGGAGGGTGGAAAAGAGAGAATGGAGGAGTGGAAATAAGAGAAGGGAGGGATTTAGGTAAGTCGTCTGGTGAGAAGTAGTTTTTGAGAAATTCGTAAAGAATTGGAGGGAGAGAGGGGTAGACAGAGAAAACAGTGAAACATAGCAAACATGAAAGAAACCAGGAACAAAAGACAAAGAGAAAGAGAGCGAGAGAGAGACAAAGAGAGTTCCAGAGATAGAATGAGGGAGAGAGAGGGAGAGAAATATAAAAAGCGAATGAGCGAAAGAAAGAGAGAGAGAGATATAGAATGAGGGAAAGAGAGGGAGAGATATAACGAGCGAATAAGTGAGAGAGTGAGCGAGAAAGCAAGATTTAAAATTCGAGTGAGAGATAGAAAGAGATAGAGAGAGAGAGAGAGAGAGAGAGAGAGAGAGAGAGACAGAGAGACAGAGACAGAGAAAGAGAGAGAGAGGAGGGAGAGAGAGATTTAAAATGCGAGCGAGAGAGAGAGAGAGAAAGAGTGTAAGAGAGAGAGAGAGAGACAGAACCGAGTACTGAGCGTAGATATTCGCTGACTACGCTCGTCTTGGCAGACAAGCGAGTAACTACTGCTGCTGCATCGTTACTCCGTCTCCATGTCGCGCTTGAGCCTGGCTAAAGCTGACAGCATCTTGTCCCGCCACGCCCGCCGCGCCCCCATCTCTCCAAGCGGCGTCATTTCCTCCAGTTGTTTGTTAATCTGCTCAAGAGATGGCGGTGGCGCTGTGTACACCGGCGTCGGCCCCATGGTGGCGCTCACATGCTCCAGGCCGGCTCCGTATTGGCGCATGCAGTCGACTATGCCTAAACAAGAGAACGCATCTACTTAAAAATATATAAATAAAAATAAAAATAAAGAAATAAGATATAAATATAAAGATATAAATGAAAAATGGCGGTACGAAGGGGCAGGAGTAAGGGTAATCGTAACCAGAATTTAGGTTAAAGGAATATTTACGAGATTTTTGCTCAGAAACCCTCAATCTGAAAGAAATCTCGCAAAATATCGTCTCACCTCACAGCGGCTATATCACTGTTTACACCAACGTTAAAAATTCTCAGATTTTATGCAGTTATATCATAGAAAACTGAACTTGAAGACATCGTACCAACTCACGTACCTAAAATCTAACAAGTGCCGCAGAGCGATAGCGCTCAACTGACGTGTACTGTAGCCGGGTATTCTTCTGATAAACTCACTGGCAACCGAATCAAGTGCGCCCTCCCGCCACCGCGTTGATATGCTTTGCTATACCGGTAGTACAGTAATAAAGATATAGCTGTGTAACTTTAATGACTTCGTTATAGAAACATAGTGTATATATACATAGTAACATAAAATATATGAACATCTGTGTTTAGACTCAGACCAAAATTGCTGCGGTGCGATTAATTGCATCACTGCACCCTGGTCGATGTCTCGCGCTATCACGAGAAAGTCCAGGAAATAGCAGCGGAAATCAAACACAGAACGCAAAATTGTAATCGTGCATCAAAACTATCACTGGTAGTGATTAATACCCCCGCAATACCACTTTGTCGGATGGGAAATGGAAGGTCATAATGTGGCATATGTTATGAGTAAAGAACACACTGAACACAAAAAGATATGACACAATTACAAAAAATTATAATTATAAGACACGGCTTCCATGGCAACGGCTTAACTGACGCACACATCTACACTTCGTATTGATCAAGTGTATGAAGTTTCATTGGAATCTCTTGAAAACTGTGAAAGTAGTTTGCGCCATGAACTTTTTGCAATGGCAAGGGGTAGTATAATCAACGATGAGTTACGGTTTCTATTGCAACGCCTTGACTAACGCACACACAAAATATGTTGCGCACATCTACACTTCGTAGTGATCATGTGTATGAGGTTTGATTGGAATTGCTTAGAAACTGTGGAAGTAGTTCGCGGCACAAAATTTTTGCAACGGACTGACCGACCGCCAGACCGACCGATTGTGAGATCACCCCGATATACCCCCAAAACTTCGTTTGCGGGGGGGGGGTATAATTAACTGCTGATAACCGCCCCGATTATTCGTATCAGTAACCTCACTTTAACTGTTAGAAACTTTTGTTAACTTTGTTTGAAGGTCACGTTACTTTATGCAAACGATCTTACCGTCTACGTTTAGAGATGAGATTATTTGTATGTGACCGCTGTGAAGGTTACGTGAATTTATGCGAACGATCTTACCGTCTACGTTCAGGTATTAGATTATTTGTATGTGACCGCTGTGAAGGTTACGTGAATTTATGCAAACGATCTTACCGTCTACGTTCAGGTATTAAATTATTTGTATCCGTGACCTCTGCAACTATCTTACCGTCTGCGTTCAGGTGGGCCGTCTCTAGAGGACCGAGGAAGGCATATCGCGGTCCGAGACCTGCCCACATCACCTTGTCAATGTCGGCCACACTCAATACTCCATCCTGCAAGGCAACGACGGCGAGCGGATTGAAAGTGATCACGTCACCGTCAATAGTGAAAGTAAACATAAATTATGTCCACTTTTCCACGAAATGTAAGTGATTCTGTTAACTTTTAATGGTTAAATTGCTGAATTAATGCAATATAATTATACTTCGTATTTTGCTATTCCGTTCGATGTGAACAAACACTCGTGAATCATACATTGACCATAGCAAGCATGCAATGTCGTGATTTGTATATCAAATTGCCCAGTTTATTTTTTATTTTTAACTAGTTGAGAGACAATCTCATCAGGTAAAAATTTAAGGATACATTTAGTCCCGTTAGTACTTACTTTTCATGTATAAAAATTGCAAGAAAAAGTTTACAAATATACACCATAGAAAATTCTTGACGTAGGCAATTGAACGACAATGTTGTATTTCGATAGCTAATACTGAGGAACCAAGGTTTACTATATAATATACGAACAACGAATTTATTCCTCGTCAGTCCAGGCTGTCACATTGTTGTTCGACACTGAAAGCGCATGTTACAGTATTCTCACGTGCAGTTACAGTGGCGCACCATTTCTTACACTCGCTCTCACTGTTTACGATAAACTTTTGACCCTCAAGAGGAGGGTTAAACATGGATTTGTTGACTGTTAACAATGGAGTGAACTGCTTTTGCTATTAGAGCCTCCTCCCCTCCCCCTTCCCCCTCCGGAAAGGTCTTAATTGGAACCAAGGGTTCAGGAAAATCGGTGTTGTACCTGTATTACTATTACTATTAGTATTAATTACAATACACTATTACTATTACTAATACTAATTAGAGTAGTATAGTAATTACTAGTAGTACGAGTATTACTAGTAGTATTACTACTACTAGTAGTACTACTACTAGTAGTACTAGTTACTAGCAGGAGATTATAGTAAATTCACAGTCTATGATGCTATTATTAATATAGCTTATTATAGGGCTATTTTCAGCCTAGGTCCTAGAACTAGAAGTAGAACAGTTCCGTACCGCACAATTTATGGGCCTAATCTTTATACGATACCTTATCCTTTGTAATTCTGCCCAGAACAAATATAAGCCTCGTCTACACTACGAAATTTAACTCGAGTTAAGCGTCTATACGGGGCCTTAACTCGAGTTAGCGTTAACTCGAGTTAGCTTAACCTCGCCAGTCGATCCAGGTTAAGCTAACTCGAGTTAAGGCCCCGTTTAGACGCTTAATTTGAGTTAGCGAAAAGTACATAACTCCACGCTAGGCGGCAACACTCGTAATATCGATCGGTAATAATCGCTATCGTATGTTGTCATGTAGACGCTACATAATCGCTAACTCGAGTTAACGCTTAACTCGAGTAAAATTTCGTTGTGTAGACGAGGCTGTAGATTTGTTTTCATTCAATCCCAGATTATTTATGGAGCTACTAACTAGCTCAGAGTAATTAATTGTCTACATTCATAATCCATTTTGGTTCTAAGCAAATAGTTCTCCATTTACAAAGTAACAAGGTAAAGGTGAAGGTAACAAGTGGAAGGTATATATACATCAGGAGTTAATAAAGACAAAGGAGTCTGACACGTATTTGGTACGGATTTCACTACATTTTGTCGTACGAGTTTGATGTGAATAAAAATTCAAATGTATACAAACATGAGCTTCTTTTGTTCACTGGTCCTTATTCTATCTTCCAGTAGTATTACAAACGCTTCCTTCGTTTTGACATAAATCGTACTTTTGCACGGCATGGTTTTCACGTTATTTACCGTCGTGTGGCGAGGCCAAGTGGTAAATTCGCATACACAGCAACTGGAACGAGGCGCGACAGGGATTGCGTCTCCCGTACGTTATCTCCCGAAGAAGTTTTTGTTCGGCTAACAAAGCCGAGTGATGACGACGTTAACTCTCACCTTTATCACATACAGATGGTCATGATAAGTAAGGTGTAAACACATGCATTCGCCTGCAATTGCATAGTAACGCTTGCTATGCAAAACATGTGCGAAAAGCTACAATCAGCTGGAGCGTCAATTTACTCGCTATAAGATTCATACACATCATTCTTCCGTGGGTGAAGTAGTTAAGATATTTTACCAGCTCAGCGTTTATTTAAAAAAACTGCGGGATTTAACCATAAAAACAAGGCATTCTAACTATAGTTTCAATGTAAAATAGTTTTAATTTTTAAACCCAGCATGGGTGCAACGTAACTTAATTTCTAAGCGCATTTTTTGCACTCGGCTAGACTACTAAAAGCCCTGCCGCGCCTCGTTCCAGTTGCTGTGTATGTGAATTTACCGCTTGGCAATGCCACACAACGATAAATAACGTGAAAACCATGTTGTGCAAAAGTACGATTTATGTCAAAACGAAGGAAGCTACACGGTTTGTAATACTACTGGAAGAATAAGGACCAGTGAACAAAAGAAGCTCATGTATACATTTGTATTTGTATTTTTATTTTGAAGCTCATGTATACATTTGTATTTTTATTTACATAGAACCCGTACGACAAAATGTAGTGCAATCAGTACCGAATACGTGTTAAACCCCTTTGTCATTATTAACCCCTGATATACATGTTTGTGTTCTAGAGGTCAAGACACACTGACCAACTGTAATATTTGATAGAACTTAAGGCAAATAAAATATTATTGTATAAACCATTCCTAATTGGCTAGAGCGAGATTCTACGACTTTCACACGGAACATAACAGTTGGTCTTTGGCTGCCGTGTTTTTGCCTTCAGTAGTGCAATCATTACATGAAGATATTTAACTTTAATAATTTCTATGATTGATTTGTAGGCAGACATGCAATCAAATCTTCAGTGGTCCATTTTTTTTATTCCACAGTAGGTACCGCAGCAATGGAGACTAGGCGTGATCCTATAGATGAATTTGTGGAAAGCGTGTTTGAGATGGAAGGTATACATGTTTTTCGTTCTAAGTGCTATAACCATGATATGAAGGGATTTATCCATCATCATTCCTGTGATTGATTTGTAGACACATTCATTTAAAAAAATCTTCAGTGGTCCATTTCTTTTATTCCACAATAGGTACCGCAGCAATGGAGACTAGGCTTGATCCTATAAATGAATTTGTGGAAAGCATGTTCGAGATGGAAGGTATACGTATTTCCGTTCTAGTTCAAGTGCTATAACCATGATATGAAGGGTTTGGGTTAGGGTTAGGGTCATCATTTCAGGGTCAGATTTTAGGGTCTATCATCATTTCTATGATGATTTGTAGACAGACGCATAAATAGCACATATGCTATTGCTAATAAGCTTAAAGGGACAGTAGCCTCTAGGATTTTACTGCATAAAACTGTACTTACTGTATAACAAATTGTCTATACCCACACGTATTTGTTACCGGATACCTAATTTCATTGTTATAATTAATTACACATCAACGCTACAAAATTTGAACGGCGCCATGACACCCGACACTGACGCAGCTTTTCAGGTCGCTAGACGAAGATATTAGCGCCCTCTGTTGAGCTGCGTTCAATGTTCCCCGCAATGTTCCTTCCTTCTCATGTCTCTTGAGCTCGGCCTCTATAAATTCAAATGCTGCCAGGACCTGCGGTGGCCAAAAATGGAAACGACGTAAGCAAATAATTTGGAGGGCCAGTAACATTGGCAAAATACCGGGCCTCTGTGCCGGTGGTTTCAGCCGCGTTAGCGAGTACCTACATTTTTGTTTATAGCTGCACGAATAACAACAACAACGAAACGCTTCCCAAATAACATTGACACTCATTACCAGTGTTTTCCCTGTATTGACACGAGTGAGGCGGGCCGCCTCGCTTAAATTCTCAGCCGCCACACAGAAATTTGTCCAAAACACCGCCTCGCTGACGAAAATCACTGTTCTTCAATAGAACAGTGCTTATAATGCACCAACAAGTGCCGCAGTGCGACAGGGCTCAGCTGGTGTCTGGTATTCTGCTGATAAATTCATTTGTGCATAGCAAGACGTCTTATACATAAGTCTTCTATATTCTTGTTTGACTTTCGTAGCCAATTCGAATAAATCTATCAGCTACACTTTCGCACCCACCTAATCTCTATGGGCTAATTCTAATAACAAGAACAATAATAACAATTCAAATACAAGTTAATGAATGACATTGACGTTGACATGAAATATTTAAACATATGAGCATGGATTTCAAAGTTTACACTATCGACTATAATTTATCAAATAGAATGTAACTAGAATGATTGTCCCAGAGTAATAATAATACCCCCCCCCCCGCTTCGAGATGTTATGGTGCCTGTATGTGTAAATTAGAATTTGTCAACGAACGGCTTCATGGAAAAAATCAGCTGCCACAGAAAGCGCAAGCAAACGCAGAGTGAAACATAAACAACATCAAGCACATATATGCACACACGCACGCACGCACACACATGCACAGAGAGAGAGACACAGAGAGGAAGGACGGCGGGAGGGAGGGATGGAGGGGGAGAGAGGGAGAGACAGTGAGAGACAGCAAGAGATAGACAGAGAGAGAGAGAGGGAGAGAGAGAGCGAGAGAGAGAGAGAGAGAGAGAGAGAGAGAGAGAGAGATAGATAGACAGAGAGAGAGAGAGAGAGAGAGAGATGGATTATAATCACATGTGAGCCGGCAAACAGCTGGCACGAATTAAGGCGGCGGCCAGGGCAATTGATTTTACGCGGGTGGCGGCTGGCCAGTTATGTATAAAGTGGGTGGGAAGTTATGTACGAAATAATCCAATAGATGAGACTCAGCATATGTCATGTATAACCAAATGGGTTTATTTACGAAAAACGGCCATGAAGCTTTCGATGCTGAATGGGCAGAGGGGATGATAGCTGTAGAACTAGCCCTTTAATTGCTCTGCCACAGTGTAGTGTGCCTGTCGCAGAGCGAATGGCTATAGTTCTAGAGCTAAGGGATGTTAGATACAATAATGTAATCCAACAAGTGTACGGCTGTGGGGTGTATAATGTACTATTGTTAATGTACTAATGTCTTAGCGTGGCTGTTACATACAATATTGTAATCCAACGTGAGTACAGTAATGTTAATGTACTCTTGTTAATGTACTAATGTTGTGGCCCTAGGGGCAGCCGACTACTGTATGACGGGCGTTATATAGTTAACGCGTGTTTAGTTGTGTGGATTCATTGCTCGGTCCTGTCCTTAGGCAGATAGCGCATAACATGTGGTACCAGTGGAACAGAACACAGTTATATTCGGTTAACTGTACTGTTATACTTATAGCTTTATTGTTTCTTACTAGCTCACAAACAATTCCCCTGCATTCGGATACGCCGCGGATCTGTATTTATCTCGTATATGTAGCTTACGCTACCTAGCTGGCGTTATAAGTTATCTGGTTTGCCGTTATTGCGATTATCAGTGCAGCGTGAAGCGCTGTTCGTGGTTTAACTAACCACTAGACTAACATTGAAGAATTAACGCGTCGCCGGCTTCGTCTTCTCCTCTCCCCGTCGTCATTTCTTTGCGTAGACTTAGGTAGCCTCCAAGGTGTCTCCCTCGTAGTCACTCCTGGCTCTACTGACCTGAAATCCCGTGGTTCTTTCCTTCCCGTTTTATTCCCCGTACCCGTAGTTCTACCTACCTGAAACCTCAAATGCTTTCTTCTTCTTCCTCTTCTGCTTTTTTTTTCTTTTTTTTTCTTTTTCTTCTTCTTCTTCTTCTTCTTCTTCTTTCCCTACCGGAAAAATAACGCTCTCTGCTGCGGTTCGAGGCGCCTTATATACCTAGCTGGCTGCGCCCCCCCTCCCTACGTGCCGTTGTTAAGTACGCGTCGTCAAAACACTACTCCCAACTCAGATTTCGTGGCTGGTGCAATTGTTTCCCTTGCTGACGCAACTCGTTTCTAAGTAAATCTCGACCAAGTAAAACTCGATCCTGTCTTTAGTCACTGTATGGTTATTCTATTTATACTGCGAGTTCAAACTATCCATCCTGATCTAGTCTACTGCTCATGTGAGTTACACACCCCCGAAATCTCCATACTAATGTCTTAGCTGGGCTGTTACATACAATACTGTTTAATCCAAATTAAATGTACTCTTGCAATGTCTCTCTCCTACTCTTGTTGGGTTACATTATTGTATCTAATGTGCTGGATCTGGATCTGGATAGTTTTCTGCGTATCCCACAGTTACGTGGATAATAACGCAGGGATAGCTATAGGGAATGCTATAGCTAGCCAAACGGTGTGACCTAGCTTGGGTACAGCCAGGTAGTTAGTCTTTTAGCCGAATGGCACTGAGGGTTCATGGTCATAGCTAGAGTCTTTTTGCGCCTTTAGTGGTTCTTTTACGTCCCCATTGGCCTTAGTATTACTGGAGACGCGACCGCCATTTTACGTGGTCATCCGAGCCACGGGAGATTCACAGTCTCCAATGTTGAGAGCCAGGTTTTTACACTTTGAGAAAATTCACTGCCCGGCCGTGATCCGTCGGCGAATGTCTGTCTGTCTGTCACGGAGTGAATGGCTACATGGGCAGAGGATCTGTCAGCGAGGATACGCTGACGGAAGCATCGGCGATCATTAATCTAAGCCGCATGCTCACCTGTTTCTGCTCGACGTCGTAGACGCAGACGGGGTGACCGACGGCGGCGAATAGCATCGACCAGCCCCTGCCTATCAGTCCGCTACGAAGACAAGCCAAGGTTAACACGACAGATCACATTTCGTAATTCTCTCCCTTCCTTTTTAGTTAACTGCGATTTTGAGGCTTTTTCTACTGCGATCCGCAGTGTTGCATGATCTGTTCGTTCGAGCAACTTTCTCTCTTTTCGTCTTCGTTATACTCCACTTGACTTTGAAGACAATTATTTACGAGGTTACGAGGTTACAACGTTATTACTGAAAAGACCCAAGACTCGGGAGCGTAGACACGGTAGATCAAGCAAACATTAGTCATTATTATTAATTGTTGCCCCACATTCTATGTCACATAAGTACGTGACCAATCATCTTCCTAACCTGTGTTTATCTAAATGCATTGGTCGGAGCCATCGCTCCCCTGTGCGACTGCAGTATTATTCAGTAGCGACTGCCACTGCCATTGCGAAAATGAATTGTGGTCAGCGATTATATTATACGATCAGGAGTATACATGAAGACAAAGGAGTAAGACACATGTTTAGTACCGATTTCACTACATTTTTGTCGTACGAGTTCGATGTGAATAAAAATACAAATGTATACAAACATGAGCTTCTTTTGTTCACTGGTCCTTATTCTATTTTCCGGTAATATTCCAAACCGCGTAGCTTCCTTCGTTTTGACAGAAATCGTACTTTTCCACGACATGGTTTTCACGTCATATACGGTCGTCTGGCGAGGCTTAGCTATAAATTCGGTTACTGTCCTATAGACCGAAGGTCCGATAGACCGAAGGCCCGATAGACCGAAGGTTTATTCGAATACGCAGTGGTTACACGTCCGGAATCGGTCGCCTAGCCTCCAGGCTACGCATCCGGACATCTATATTTTTAAACTTAATTTCTAAGCGCATTTCATGCACTCGACTAGGCTACGGCCGAAAAACCCTGGCGCGCCTCGATGCATATGCTGTGTGTGGGAATTTACGCGGGCATGCAGCCCTATAGACCGAAGGTCCGATAGACCAAATATTGCAAAGAGTTAGGGTTAGGGTTAGGGTTATAGTGACATCGGTGGATGTGCGGCATATTCATGTTCGAATACGGCATCAGTATTAAAACCGTTTTACATTTAAACTATAGTTTGAATGCCTTGTTTTTATGGCTGAATCCCGCAGTTTTTTTAAATAAACGCTGTGCTTAAGAACCAGTCCGCACCTGCAGCTACAGCTAGCACACACGCGGCCATTGACCTGTGTGTGCGGTGTGTGCTGTATCTGCAGGTGCGGACTGGTTCTTGCTGCCAGTGGTAACAATAACTACTGCTAAAGGGGTCGTTGTCGTATCAGGTACTACAGATATGTACCCGAGGTACATATATGTATACACAAAGTGTACCAATTCTGTACTAGCAGAAGTGTACCCTTACAAATTTAACCTAACCCTAAACATACCTCCAATAGAAGAATATAAACATAATACTAACACAACCTAAAACTACCTCGCGTACATATCTGTAGTACGCTGATACCGCCACAACGACCCCTCTGCATAACCAACTATAACATAACCTGCCAACGATAGCTATTTTACCCCTTTCTAAATGCTCTTGTCGTAAATCACCATGAGTTTCCGTTGGCGCGGCCATATTAGGGGTTGACTGTCCCGTTGATTAGGTGTGACTACTCCTTTCTACTGTCTGATAAAGTCTTAGCCTAAGGCTAAGGAAGTAATGACACGACAAAGATCAGCTGGTCAAGAAAAAACGGATGAAGCACACGGTCGAGCACTTATATCGAATCCATTTGTTTATTTTGTTTCACTTTTTTTATTTTTAATCTTTACTTCATTTTAACTATTTTTCCCAATATAACTGCACTATTTAATGACTTTATTAAAAAATATGTAATTAATAATATTTTTTTAGTTAATTAATTATTAGTGGATAATTAAATTTAATTAGGTTGGTAGAGTTAGAGCAGAGCACTTAATATCAAAGCTGTGCTTTATATGCTCTGGATTAGAGTTAGGGTTGGGGTTAGGGTTAGGAATGTAGGGCGTAGCTGCGGTGGTTCTGGGATATTGGTTCTAGGGCGGTTTGAGGTATGGAAATAGAGTGCTTACCAAGACGAACAACAGACCAAAAACGCACCCGGCAGTTAGATGCGATAGAATGAGACCCCTACCTAGGCGCACTTAGGCATAAGAACTATAGGCATTTAAAAAAAGAAACCCTCCCAACGCCTAACCCTAACCTAACCTAAACCCTAAACCTAACCTAAACCCCCTAACATGCGACTTGCCCTCTTTCGCACACCTCCCGCCCCCCCCGCCCCCCCCCCCTCCCCCGACCACACCCCCACGGGCCACCGACCCCCGCTCCCCTCTCGCGTACGCCTCCCACCCCCGCGCCGGCCCCACCCCCTAACCCCCTCCTCCAACCGATCCCCAACCTCCTAAAATAAAAATTTTTTATTATAATTCAAATGCTATAAGCCATATCATATCGCATCCTTTCCTGTCGCTTTTGCACCAAAAACATCCTTAACAAGCTTTTGCCGATGTCAATCGCAGCGCCACCTATCCGCGAAACAACGTTAAGCTTAACAAATATGCTCAACCATGTGCTCAACCATAGTGTTAGCAGATTTTTTCTCCGTGAAAAGACTAACTGTCTTTGGTACATGTATATTATCATCTTGAATTAAGCCTAGTGCAATAAAGATTTAATAAATAATAAACTAATAATAACGTGAACTGACAATATTGTGATGTGGCGAGAAGTGAATCAACAGCACTTGGACGCGTTTCAACCTCATAAACCCACAATCGACTCCGTACACTAAATTGACTACGTCACGAATTTTCTACTGGTAATAAAGTTGTAAAAAAAATTTCCGCATTTTTTTACCGATAAAAGTAAAACCATAACGAGAACTAACGTATCGTTCAAATTCTTACACTGATCAAGACTTGTTTCTCAACTAATATAAAAATGCCAAAAAAACCTAAACCAATTCGAATTAATGTTTCCAATTAATTGCTTGCCATATGGCTACTGTATGAGTCACAGTGTAGTGTGATCGAACCAATATTAGTAATATAGGAAGTATATATGCCAGCAATTTAACCATAAAAAGTGAACAGAATATTTTATTATTTGTCGTAAAAAGTGAAAGTATATTTTTTACTTTTTTTACTATGTTCACGGTGACGTAATCAGCTATAATGATATATAAACACAAATGTATTCAACTGCTCACTTCGATGCTTCTATTATTGCTCTATCGACAGTCACTGCCAGGCCCGTTAGTGGCCTCCGCAAAAAGTGCCAGCTGCAGAATACTGTATCGCCGTCGGCGTTAGGGTATCTCCCCCCGAAAATATGTTTGAATGTAGAGCCGTGGAAATGGCATTTCTGGCATGTCTTTCAGGCGTATGTTGAGGAAGCAGGGTCTGGTAAAGTCAACCACATCTGATCATTTTAAAGAATCAAATTTGTAAATTTCAAAGAGGAATGTAGCTAAAGCTGATGTTTGACTAAAGTATCTAAAATAGAATATTATGAGTATAATACATAATAAAACCTTTATTACAAAATTGTATATCACATTTGATGAAAAATAAGCCTATTTTCAATCTGCATTTATACTTTCACTATTACATTTGTATGTTTTGAAGTTTGAATTTGAATAGGCACATTGTCAGATTAAATACACATTCCAAATCTTAGAGCACTAATAAACACCTCTAATTGATCAGTATTAATAGTAATACCAGACAGTCCAGTCAGATAACTTGTCATTTTATTAATTTTTATTTCAATTTTATCTTTTCTGCCTGGATGGCAACTTACAAATTCTGAAATTACATTTTGTTCATCTACCTTATCTAACATGTCTCGATGGACATGCATGACCATTGCATTGTTGACCTTAACTGGTCGTGCTCGGTCGGGGGGGCACTCCATATATATTGCATGGTAGGTATGTGCCGCGGAGAGACCCCTATTTTCAACCCTAACCCTAAACTTCCGTTCCAGTGCATCGCATTTTGAAGAATATCTCGTTCCAGAGCATTTTAGTTACCATGCAGATCTTACATTTTTGCCGTTCCGGAGACCCTAGTTTTTTTAATATTTCCGTTCCAGTGCATCGTACTTCAGAATACGTTGAAGCCGGGCCGTCAAGGCATGCATGCAACGTGTGTGTGTGTTGTATGGTGTCGTGCGTGCGTGTGTTTCTGTGTGTGCGTGTGTGCGTGTGTGCGTGTGTGCGTGTGCGTGTGCGTACGTGTGCTGTGCGTGCGTTCATCTCTCTCCGGGTTATGTTTTTTCTCCTCTACATAATACAACAATTATTGGTTCAAGTGCTACAGCATAGATTTTAAAGAAAATCACTGTTCCCCCCACAGTTCCGGAGACCCCCTCTTTTAAACGTGTCCAGTGTCATAGCATTGAATTTCAACGAAATCCTAGTTCCGGAGACCCCCATTTTCGAACATAGCCAGTTCCAGAGCATACCCCATTCAACAAACATTAGTTCAAAAAGTTATAAAATTTGACTTCAATTGTCCTTTAAGGTACATGTATAAATCAAACATTGGAGGTGACAAATGACAAATCCACCAACCTTACCGATCAACAACCTTGTAATGGTCAATTCACACATTTGCAATGGTCATGTCCATACAGGATACGCAATAGGGCCTATACCGTAACTAATGTGCACACTTGTTCATACCAAAGTTACACTACAGTCACCCCATCAGAGAGCTCAACATTACCAGTCACACGCACAGCCATACTTCCAACATACCGCAATACTTATATCATACCAAAATTAAATGCTCTATCAGCAACCACGTAAACACATAGGAAAGAATATATTAAAGAGCACAAATCCTAACTTTGCCTAATAAAGGACATAATCACCAAGCTTTCTGGGCTGACGTCCCTCGAGACACTGATCAACCGCCTCCGAGTCCACACAATGCGATAGATCCTCCCCTGGAGGTACTGGGGTATCCACGACAGCAGGAATGCACGTAGAATCTGGGGAACTACCTAGAGTTGGTGGGGTTTTTATAACGCCAGGAATCTCGGGGAGGCCCGGAGGATCACCGGAGCCTGGGGGATCACCGGAGCCTGGAGGATCACTGGAGCCTCGACCAACACTACCCTTCGCTACCGTCGTCTTCATCGGACGAGTCGACATCCGCAGGAGAATACCGTCGTCCACTCTTGACGATGGGAACCTTGTAACAGTCAGACTGTCTGACTCTATACGACTGGCGGCGAAGTTGAGAACCGGCAAACTTTCTAACATTACACCAACTCCCCTCAACGTTTACAACCAGATACCTATCGCGAGCATGTGACTTGTCGCGATCCGATCGCAAATACACCAGATCTCCAATCCCAATATGCCCCGATGGGGGAGTAAGTCCACTAGGCGTTTTAGACATTTCACTTAATGGGTGGTTTGAACACCTCAACTCATGTTGACGCAGTATGATTTGACTGTCGTCAATAGTTATCTGCTTGTGGGTGAACTGGTCACGCTGAGTCCACATTTCCTTAGATGATAACCCCCCATTCCTCAGCCGGGTATTCAATCGTGCAACAGCAATCGCTAACATGACAGGCAAAACAGCACGGCAAGAGGGATCTTGACGTAAGATTTCCTCTTCCAACTCCTGTATCGCCCTTTCGGCTACCGGGTTTTTGTTTACATTCTTAGCTCTACCTAACTCCAACGTAACGCGATGGCGTGACAGGAGTTCATCATTAACCAGTGCGGCAAAACCGGGTGCCGGATCTGTTCGCACAACGGCAGGGGGTCCCTCAAGGGGACATAACTCTATACACAACTGCAAAATCGCATCCCTAAGCGTTTCATGACGTTCGTTCTCCACAAATGTGGCCACGGTATAAGAGGTAACATACTCTCGAACGATCAGAATCATCTGACGCTCACGTCTGATGACATCCGCAGCAAACAAATACCCTACACATTCAGGCGGATCGCCTGTACTTTGTTCACTGGTCATTTGTGGGAATTTCTTGAGAGAAGCACACTGATGACAGCCCTGCGTGACGTGACCTATCGTTTTACCCAGATCCAAAGCGTGGAAATATCGTTGAACAACGGACTTCAACTGGTAAGCGGAAGGATGGTCCAACTTGATATGTAGGGCAGTGAGGAAGCCTTCAAGTGCATGTCTGGGGATCACAATACACTCACGAGATGGGGACAATGGTACCTCATGTCTCACCACAAGTAAACCATCCCTAGACAGGGTAGCTATGCCCAAGTAACGTTTAACGTCTTTGACATTTGTGAGTTTCTTTGACGGCCGAGTACCCTGACGCAGATGAGCGCATGTACGACGCGAATCAGCACATTCTGACTGGATAGCTATAACCAAGCAGACCTAATAGTGAACGGCATTTTGACAGACCCATCCAAAACTTCCTTCGTAGAAACGTGACGCAGAACGGAGTCCTCAATTTGTTGGGCAAACGAACAGACTTGACATACATGATCCTCACACTCCGGTGCGTTACGACTAGCAAAGTCCGATGGTAATATGGCTGACCCGCTAACGTGTCTGACTGACACCTGATACCGACTAGCCGTAGACAAGAATGACAGAACTCTGGGGCTGGCAGAGAACTGACCCCTACACAGCTTCTCATATGCCTGCACACACGGTTTGCTGTCAGTGAGAACACATGCGGTTGCAGAAGACTGAACGATGTAC